TACTATAGCTCTTTAGATCTTTTTACTATTTAATAAATAAAGAAATAAGCTTTATTAAAATTAAAACTAAAAACTATTTCAATTGATATAATTTATTTATAGCAATTAATAAATTTATCTTATTATTTTTCACATATATTTTTAACAAGTTTTAATTATATTTCTAAACTATATTAATATTATTAATTAACAAGATCAGATAAATATAATTAACAATCAGAAATAATGCAATAATATCAAAATTTATTAATTAAATATAATAAAATGCAGATTTTTCTCTTTATATAAAAGTTTTAATTTATTAATAAATATTAAAATAAAAATATTTTAATATATATTTTTTCAGATTAAATCTTAAAAAATCTGAAAAAAATATATATTATAATATGTGATATTATCTTTATTTTAATGTAAAAATAAAAAATATTTAATAGAAAATTAAAAACTTTTATAAAAAGAGAAAAATGTATATTTTATTATATTTATTTAATAAAGTTTAACATTGTATTATTTCTGATTGTCACTATATAATAGTATTAATTTTGATGATCTATAAATAATATAATAGTAAATAAGATAGTAAAATATTTTTTGTTCTATTAATAATTTTCAAAAAATAATAAATATTAATTTTTAGAGACTAATTTTATATTTTTTGATATTGAAAAATCTTGTATAAATAAGCAAAAATTAATATATTTTTAAGATTTTATTTATTTTTAGTACTCTAATCTTAGCAAAAAAAAGTTATTTTTTATATGATTTTGATTTTAATATTAATTATCTGAAAATTATATATAATATTAAATAGAGTTTCAATTAAAATTAGATTTAAAATTTAAATTATTATATAATAAGTATAAATATAATATATAATAAAATTTTGCAAAAAACATTTTTTTTATTACAATATAAATAATTTTTTATATGAAATTTTAAGATACAAACTATTTTTAAAATTAAATCTTTTTTTCAATTTTTTGTATTACATATTGATTTTGCGATTTGATTGATGCATGATTTTAAGTGAAATATTGAATGAACAATATCAAATCAGAATTAAAATTATATAAAAGATACTTTTTTTGTTGTGACTAGGATATTACTTTATTTTTTCATCTTCAGAATAGGTAAGATTAGAGATGGCGCAGCAAGTACATGACACTTATTTGTTACCTGTTGCAACATGTTGCAACTCCAAAATTTTATAAGCTGCAACTAGTTGTAACTAGGTGATGCTTTATTTGTCATCATGTTGCAACAGTTGCTGTGCCATCTTTAGGTAAGATATTCTAATTATGTATATACTAATTATTTGCTTTATATATTAATATTTTTTATTAATAATTAAAATCTTTATTCCAGAAAGTTTAATAAATAAATTTTGCTAAATTTTACAAATGCTGTCACTATAATATATATATATTATTACAAATTTGTTAACTAATCATTAAATTAGTTATCAAATAAGAATCTGAGTTGAGAGAAAATATAAACAGATAAAGAAAATATTTAAAGAGAAGAGAGATATTTAAGATCTATGTTAATTTCTATAAAAATTGTATTTACTTAAAAAGAAATAATAATATGGGAGAGTTATGGGAGAGTAAAGATCAAAGAGAAAAGAGAATAAAGGAATAATAAAGAGAATTTGAAAAGATGATTCTATACTTCGTATAGCTTTCTAAAACTAAAGTAATATAATTAGTAATAATAATAACAAAGACTTTTTCACTTTGTTCTTTTCATGAGTGAGAAATATTCATTAATAATTAAAAATTCAAAATAACAAAAAGTAAAAATATTTATAAATCCAATTTTAATAATTTTCAATATAGCAATTTGTTTAGTACAATATGATATAAGCTTAATAATCCAATAACAGCAATTTGTTTAGCATAATATGATATAAAGTCCAAAATCAATAACAGTAATTTGCTCAGCTCAATATGATATAAAGCTATCAGTAATTTGATAGGTTCAATATGATATAAGATTACTTATACATAAGATTTGAAGTGTATAAAGAAAATATAAGAGATAAGAAGTATTTGAAAGAAGATTTTTGTTAAGAGAGATTTTTATTTTCAGTTATAACATGTCAAGTTAAGACTCTAACAGCACTTTTATTTATAAATTTTTCAAATTACAAAAAGTGAAATAAATAATTATAAAAATATATAAATTTTTCAAATTACAAAAAGTGAAATAAATAATTATAAAAATATATAAAAGTTAAATAAATAATTATAAAAGTGAAATAATTTTATATAAAAGTGAAATTTTGAAAAGTGAAAAATTAAAAAGTGAAATAACTAAAAGTGAAATTATATATATAAGTGAAAAATAAAAAGTGAAAAATCGAAAAAGTAAAAAATTGAAAAAGTAAAATAATAAAATTGAAATAATATATATAAAAGTGAAAAATAAAAAGTAAAATAATTAAAAAGTAAAAAATAAAAAGTGAAATTTCTAAAAAGTGAAAAATAAAAAGTGAAATAATAAAAAGTGAAATAATACTAAGAGATTTTGTCATTATTTTAAATATTTTTGGAATTTTCATGTTTTTTAATTATTTTTGAATTTGCGATTTTTATGTTACTATTGTAATAATATATATATCATGTGATTTACTATATTATATGTAATCTAAGATCTTCTACTATCTCCATCTCCCTAAGATATATATGTCATTGTTCTAATGATAATGATACTCAAAAACTCACTGAAGTCAGTCTTTCGAGTCAACTTGACCAGACAATTTTGAGTCGAGTTTTACTTGGAAGAACCATAAAAGATAAAGTCCCAAAGATCACATGACAATCAGATGCTATCTTATATACGTAATTATTTCTCGAGAAATAATGATATTAAAGAATGCTGAACAAAAATATCTTCAAGAATGTACTTTGTTTCAAAACAAAGTCAATTAAAACTTAAATGTTAAAGAAAATTATTTGTTTAGTTACAAAAAAGATGCTGATTTTAATTATATAGATTAATATACAAGTCTTGTATTGTAACATATATTAATTAAATCTATTAATAAAGAGGCGAGATTCTCATTAATAAAAATATATATATAAAGCATTTTTCTCTCTGTTTGTTGATATTATTATAGAATAAATAAATTTTCTCTATATTGGTTAGCATCATGATTTTGTTTGCTATAGAGATTTTGTTATATAAAATGTGGTTGACTTTATCAGTGACTATATCTATGTCACTTGATTACTTTATTAGTGACAATACCTCTGTCACGTGATGAATGAGTCTGAACTCGAACCTGACTTTAGACGGAGTCATAATTAAAACTCAACTTCTAGAGTCGAGTTGAACCAGATCGGACTTTTAACATCTCTACCTAATAATAAGAACATTATTGTGCAGCAAAATAATAATTTTTTTATGATTTTCAAATAATAATGATAACAACCAAACCATAAAAAGAGTCAAAAAAATTAAAAATGATGTTAATAACAACAAAAAAAACTAAAATAAAATATGCTAAAAAAAATTTTATGCATATAATATGTTTTTAAATATTTAACGATTTTTATTGTACGATTTGAAGGACAATCCTACTTCTTGATATTTTGAATTTTTGCGTAATAGCTTTTATTTTTCTAATCATTGATTTATTTTATTAACGTTAATTGTTACAGTAAATTTTATTCATTCAGGGTTAGTTAGATAGAAAATGACAAATCAAGTGTCTTATCGTTATCGTTATCGTTATCGTTACCTTTCTTATTAGAGATCCATCTAAATCTATAAAATCCTTTTGCCGAGCTTACATTGCCTACGAGAAACAAAGATTAAAGAATTTGCCATGTTTTTTAACTATGTTAAAGAAAAGTTTAAAGGCCAGACATCCCTGGTGATAGATGCTGAAAAAATATTTAGAGAAGAGCATGATCTCTTGGAAGCTGGTCAAGGATTGGCATTCAATTGGTATAGGTAATTTGTTTATTCTATTTAATGTTCATTTTATTAGATATTTTATAATAACCTTAGTATTTTATCCTTAAAAATAATAACGATTTGGGGCAAAGCACCGGATTCGGTAAATTTATAAATACCAGAAATTCCTGTACTAAAAAGTTTAACTATCCTCTTTTTGTTGAAGAATTGATTGAAGAAATAAAAAACATGATTATTTGTATCAATTCCGAATAGATCCTTGAGTTTTTCTATGACTCCACATTCAAATTATTGTACATCGTATAAGCCAACTTTTAGGGTATAATATCAACTATTTTCGATAATACAAAATTATATCTTAGGCGTACCAGTACTTGTTACGTAGTTATCAAAGTTTATAATGATGTGAGTTCGTCAAAAGAATTTGAGCATACATATACTTTTTAATTCGTGATAATAGCATGATACAATATGAGAGATCTATGATTGTTTGAATTTGTAATACAATAATAATTTAGCATTGC